CTGCTGACGTCACGGCTTGCCTTGGATCAGATCTCTTATCAGAGGGAGTGATAAATTATTCCATCAGCCTTGATATGATAGGCACATTATCGCATTTGCATTGGCAGATTGCTTTAACCTTTTTTTCAATGTGTGTGTGTTTGTTTTTCCTATCCACAGATCATGAGGGGGAGAAAACACCTGTCAATCGAACCTCCGCAGAGGCACTGCCTGAATATTTAATGTAAGATTCAAACACACACACCCTGACTGTGTTACATTTTCAAATCCCAGTTTCAGAAAGGATTAATGATTCAGGAATTCAATCCAAATATTTGCGTGATATCTCATATACATTGTAAAATAATCTGTCATCACTCTAAGCCACTGAGAATAGATACCCTAAAGAGTGAGGATAAGCTTTAAAACATTTTTAAAAATACAGTGAAGAACCACATGTCTAAATGAGCTGTCACAAAGCTTTAGTGAAGCAAACACACATGTTATGTCTTACATTTTTACATCTGGTCAACACATCATGCTGTTAAATCAGTGACGTGTCAGGCCTCTCACTCCACCGTTTTGCAGTGCCATCTACTGGAAGGAATTGGAAACAACTTAGTTTCAAAAGATCACTTCTGCTTTGAAATAACATCTGGTTTATTTGGCTTTTTCTCAGAAAATACAGTACCATAAAAGCACTGGAGCAGAGGCAGGAGTATAAGGACGACTTCTGTGCCGAGTACGATGAATACAGAGCTCTTCATGCCCGGATCGGGGCTATCACAGAGATGTTTGTTCAGTTGGGCTCAAAGATCAACACTCTTTCCCCGGGAACACAAGAGTACAAGGTACTGTCAGACCAGGGGCCTTTAAAAGCCCCGTTTCTGATCAAACACCAAAACAATAAACTGTTCAGATACATGGCATCCTAACACTCTTTTTTTTGTCATCCTTTCAGCTCATGGAGGACCAAATACTACAAAAGTACCGAAAGTATAAGAAAGTAAGAATAACATTTTTATTTAATTTCATGTAACAGTTGTGACTCATGAACATAATTTTTCTCTCATTTTCCATTTAAAATAGATTTTTGAATTTTCCTATTTAAAAAATATGTGATGTTAAAATTGTATTGACTTTATCATTGAGGATGTACATCATAGTTTGCCAATCCACTAAGAAGTTAGAACTTTTATTTTTAGATTAAATTGCCATAAATTCTACCCAACATCAATTGATCAAATACTGCTACTGAGGGTGCAATAAATCAAATTGCAAAAACTCCAGCAAACCTCCCTGAAAAAACTAAGGACATGATAGATTTGTATAAGAATACACGGATGTTCTAACATAAGGGCGATCACGTTGAATGTCCTTTACTGATGGCTCACTTTTTTCTTCACAGAAGTTTCCTGGGTACCGGGAAGATAAGAAGCGATGCGAGTACCTCCATCAGAAACTGTCACATATCAAAGGCCTGATCACAGATTACGACCGAGCGCAGGGACTCTCCTAGTCAGCGGCGTCTACCCTCAGCAGGGTTTAATATGACTGGACCAAAAGACTCCTAATGGAGCCAAAGACTGCCAGCTGGGACCCGGAGTCACTGAGACACTTTTCACTTTACTCCTTCGAGTATTTATGGAATCGAGGAGCGGGTTTTTTTCTAGAAAGTGGGCCGAGACCACCGACCCGTGATCAAATGTTGCCCTTTAACATTTTGGTTTTTAATTATGATTTTTGGCTGGATTCTGTTCTGCTGTATAATGGTCCAATGACGAAATGTAAGCCAAATCCATTTTATCGGAAGTGCAAAGCAGATTTGATCCTTCCTGCTTAATGTATTTTTATTTGTATTCCTTTATCTGCTCAGAACTTTAAAAAATGTGTTGATTTATTTAAAAAAAAAAGTATTACATTGATGGTACAATCAAACTTATGGGGAAAGAAATGCTACTAAAGTCTTTATATTTATCATACAACAGGAATCCTTTTATTTGCTGTTTGCCAATAGAAAGTCAACACATTTAAGCACATCAGTTATTCATTAGTTACAGTAATAAGATCAGATCATAATAAGGTCACAATCATTTTCAATGTCTCTCCTTGGAAGCCAATGCAAACAAAATCTTATCATTCATACAAAAATACATTTCTGCAGGACTAAACTTGCAGAGGGTTTTCTCAATGCATCACTAAAATGAAAAGAAAATGAAATGTAAAGCATAATATGCAGTTATTCAGGCTTTGATCTTGAGTAATTTAACCATGTAGCTGCCAGCGTCCGGTGTCATTTCTAAGAAATGTTGGAATGCCACAAAACTACTCCTCACCTGAACGCTGGTTTCAAGATAGTGCTTGTGCACATATGAGTGTCAACTTCACCCACATGTAGCCTACCACCAACTGCCTTTTCATTATCAACTCTCTCAAATCTTCTGGTTGTTGGTTTACTGATAAACACAGTACACCCAGTAATCATGCTTTATCTAAGCTGTAGATGAATGACTAAAAGCTCTATGAATCATAACTTTTCACTCTAAATGCAGTTTTAAAAGCGTACAGGGTATTTGATCTTGGTAATCGATCATGTTTGATTTAATATGATCTTGCTTTGGTTGAAGTATGGCGATTGCAAAAGAGATGCCTTTAAAAGTTGGATAATGTAATTTTTAGTACACAGGTGGCACTGTCAGTCGGTTCATACCACTTTGGTTCAGTTTGGGTGTAAGGAGCAGGCAGACCTCTAGAGGGTGCTAGCGGCGCTTTTAGACTCATTTTAGACTTTCTGGAATCATTCATCCCAAGGCAGGATCATAAGAATAACCACAAACTGTAATTTGATTTCACTTTATGATTAGCTTTAGCCTGATGTAGGAAATTGATTTCAGATGTCAGTGTTCTCTGGACATTTGGATCAATGTAGCCGTTCTCCCAACTTTTGTCTTAATGATTGCTTAGAATGGGAGCTAGTATTTGCCTTAACACTCACAGTATGTCAGACATTTCCAAAATGAGGACACCCCTGTTGGTTTACCCTGCACAGTTCAAAGCATTCTGAGACTTTTTCTTGTAAATGTATTTTAGTTTGAAGGAACTTCAGTTACTGGATAGTTGTTACTGGATAGGTATTGTGTTATCTGTGTTCTTCTTGTTTTATTACCGTGTACGTCTAAATCATTTTCTGTTTCTATCAGATAATCATGAACTGTTAAGGAATTGAATTCACTCTCCAATCGTATCAAGTTCCACTTTCAAAAGAAATAATCATTGCAGAAATGTATACAAAATAATGTGCTTTCCTTTTCTTGATTTCTCAATGAAAATACTTCGTAGGCTTATTGTCACATGTTAAGCAGTAATTTTGCATAAGGTAAATGTACGTTGTTATTTCTTTTACATTTGGTAGATTACTTCTGGTATGTTTGAAGGATTTGAGACTGGCAACAGTTGCTCTGTCTTGGCACATATGAACTTTTCCAAGAGAGGAATATTTATTAGCACTGACTATTGGAAAAATAAGAATTGTAAGCCCAGATTCTGAGCATTAAATATCAAAGCAAAATATGCTGGATCTTAAAGTCCTGGTACACTGAAGTTTTATTTATTTTGGCTGTTTGGATCTATTCGAAAGACAAGACCACACAACGTTTAGTTAAATGTGCCACAAAGCTCTAATCAACAAGAGAAATTATCTGGTCAGTCTGTTCTGGTCACTGTTTTTTTTCTGGTATTGGATCTGCAAATCCATGAGACATTGTTTAATTGTACTAAAAGACAGGAGCACGATGCCAGTTCAGATATACAAAATTATGTTTAGGTTGTTTCACAGAATTTGTTGTTCAAAACAGAAAGGTACTGAATCAGTGTTTTAAAAAATGATGGTGAGATGGAACCATACAGAACACCATTCAGATGACCTTGAAAGTGATAATTCACAAAACAGATTCAAGTCAAGGGCTTCCCATCTACCACAAGAGTGGTATTGGTCAATTGCATAATACATATGAAATCAAACAATCTCAAAAGGCAAAATATCACTCTAAACAGTATGAATTCAGTTATCCCTACCATTCATGTCAACATGTTGATTTTGGGAACCAGACCCTCGATGAATCTCAAGTGCTAACTGTGATGTGTTTTCTTTTTAGTAATACTGTCGCGGGAGCTAACTACTGATGGTGCCTTTCCATTCAAAGAGCAGAGCCACTCTGCATGTAACTTGTATTGGTATTCTGTAAAAAAAAAAAAAAAGGACCAGCAGTATTTAAACATCTGTAGTTTCACACTGGTGCCGCTGTTCAAAGTGCTTTGTTCCTTATCTTTAGATTAAGTTGGTATCAGATGCCTTGTAAAATCTTCTTAGTTTTTGGGCGCGGACATTTTTTCCAGATATGTAAATTCGGCATTTGCAAAAATGCAAGGTTTTCCTGACACCAATTAAACTGCATTTTAGGTTAGCTGTTCAAAATAATGTCCTGGATTTTGTTTGCATTTCTTTTTGCAGCCCCGCAAAGTATTTTAACAAATGTAATACTGGTGCATTGATTGGTTTGTTGGTACTGGAAAACCAAGTCTTGTTGAAAATGTGAAATAGGACATTTCGCCTATTATGAATCACTGCAATTGGTCTACCTGGAAGAACAAATTGTTTTTATTTATTGTTTTATATGCGTTTGTCCTTTTATGGAATCCAACTTTGCAGTTAGTTCATTTTTTTTCAGAGCAACACTCAAAGTATGGTGAAAGGGAAATGGAATATATTTTTGCAATTGTTGATGGTGGATACTTTATCCCAAAGTCATCCACTTGAGTAAAAAGCTTTCAGAAGAAGTGTATGGTTGTCTCAGTTCAAGCAAAAAATAAAGCTCTTTTGAATTTAACAAAGTATCATGTTTCCCCAAGAGGGCAGTGTTACTCAATGTGTTTAACTGAACTGAAATTTCCCTTAAAGCACCACTAATTAACATTTCTACAAAACAAAATATGAAGATTTTCAAAAAGCACAATTTAAGAAATGCTGTTTTTATAGTATTTATTAACCTTTGAAATCAAGTGTGACAGTAAAAACATTAGGTCCCCTGGAATGAAACAAACTTCATGTCATTGTAAATCTCACTCGCAGCTTTTAGAACTGAAGTCTAATATTAGTTATTTTCTAGAGGGAGTTGGAGGTCTCTACTTTATCCTCCGCACTTGTTTTAATCAAAGATTTAAATAACATATATACACAAGCGTACTAAACAATATATTAAGAATATTATTATCACATTATCGAGAGTGTCTCTACTCATTCAAATATAACACCAATTGTATTGATATTTCTTAACTCAATTTACATTTTAAATTGACATACAGGCCATGAGTCTGACGTTCATTCTGCTGTCCGAGTCATAACAGGTGAGATAAAATACTTTTTCACAGAAGACAAATTAGTCACCACAGCAGTAGGAAAACACATATAGAAAACAATACATTAATTATGGATGAATTCCATGTAGCTGGTTTGATTTCAGGGTCATTGTATTGTGAATGTTGGCTTTCTGCCAAACTCACAGCCACACTCAGATAGAACAGAGCCATTGTTTGTGTTATTGGTAATTCTGTGCTTTTCCTACAATGACAAGACAAGATGTCTACTGTGAGAGAATCCTATCCCCTGAAATCTCTCAGCTGCTTTTTCCCCCTCTGGAAGCACGTTTGGCCGAGAAGCAATTTATCACTTGAATCATTGAGGTAAAACTTTTAGCAGCATCTTATCATGATTTTTATTCCTTTCATACCATTGTTTTAAACTTCACCAGTTCCCCATTCAATGTTTAGTCATTTTGTTAATCAAGAATCCATGATAAAAAAAAATCAAATCCAGTCATGCCATCAGTTGTTGCTGGCCTGATTTAAATGTTACAAAATGTGCCCTAATCTCAATGTGCACCAGGTCTACTTTAGTCCACCATTACAGCTTCAGGTAGACACACTACATCCTGTCAGGATAAATCCTTTTATCTGCAGTTAGTCAGCAAGATTAACTCTACCCTTCTTATCAGGGTCTGAGTCTTAACTTGGGCTGTGCAAGGGTTACAATCCCAATCACTGAAGATAACAAACCACAAAATCCTACCACTCCTGCGTTTGATTGGTATATACCCAACCTATCAAGGGGAATGAAGAGATCACATACATTTTTAAGCACGTCCAAGGCAACAGCAGGATGCGACCTCAGGCTCTCTAACAGCAGAAAGAGAAACGCATCCAGCTGAGGGATGACTGCTTCGGCCACTTCAGAACTCTCATTGAGATGCAGCTCCATTTTCTGTTTAAAGTGTCTGTCTCTTGCTTTCTGTGCCATTAACTGGATGACTTCATAAACATCTCTGGTCAGACTTGTTACTAGCGAGAGGAAATAGCATCGAGAGGCATTCAGACTCCAGCGTTCCTTGTCGATATCGCGGATAAGACCGACATTTCTGGCCCAAAGTACATTGTCACAGATAAAGTAGAGGGCGCGGTTGGCGTTGGCCGCAGTAAGGCAGAGGCACAGCACTCGGTCAGAGAGTTGCATGGTTCGCTTAGCAGCCTCAATGGAATTTATTGTGTTCCCCAGCCTGAACACTGACAAAGGAGGAAGAAAAAAAGCATATTAGAGCAGTAATCAATTTAATATGAAATGTCAGGTCAACATTTCATAATAAAACTCAACTATTGAGGGTAGGATTGAGTAAAGCTACGTTAAGCTGTGTTTAAACCAAACTACTGTCTTTCATCTGACTTGTCCCTCTGAGGGAAAAGGTCATGGACACTTACAGTGTTTAACCTACTGCGTGACACCTAGTCCAGCTCAGGCTTGGCCTTGCGATTGATGCTTTTTGAGCCATTCAGAAAGCAAAATGTTTGGCAACATTAGCCTCTGACATGTTCTGTTTTTAAATAATGACACCTACATGTCTCCTTCACTCATTATTACTGAGGCAGGAGCTCTGTGGCTGCAGCTCTGATGCACAAAGGAGATATATAGGTCAAACAGGAACAGAGACCCTGAGAGGGACATAGTGTTTCTTGCCTGACTCTGATGAAAGGCATGATTGACTAAGAACAATATGAAGCCGAGTGTTGTTGAAGAGATATAGGAATTATGGAAAGACGTGTGTATGATCCAATTAAAGCCAGACACTGCTAGAACCTCTAAATATTGATATAAATGCTGTACATTTTACTGACACAAAAGTCTGTTTTCCTGTAATAACAAAATGAAATTCAATAAATCCAAAACACAGTGTAAAAGTTTAAAACTTTCAGTAATAATCGATGAGCTGTCAGAGCCAGTCTTAGGGTTGCCAGTGTTACAGACACAGGAGGTGCAGGTCCATGTGTCAGCACAAAGTCTGGTCCCCCACACAATATCTATCTCACAGGGGGCTAGCTACAGACTGACACAGCAATAAACAGCCAATATATCAATGCCAAACAGAATGTAACATTTCCGAAAGTATTAAACTAATAAAATTGTCATTGCAATTTGTACTGCCTTTGTACAAAGCACGGACAAATGTGACCCTGAAACACTTCTTCAGATATCTCTTAAAATGTGTTGTATACCGTTTGTTTATGTGCTGGAAGAAGATAATTAAGGCATAGTTGTAGCTGTAAAACATTCAACAAATAAGTAGACACACAAGTATGTCAAATGTCCTTCAATGTTCAGATTGAACAACTTGTCAACTTTACAATGTGTCTTGGCAAAATTGTCAATATCTTGGCAGTTGCAGTTTGAAAACGTAATACTATTCATGCAGTTTTGATAGTGGTATAATGTATGGAGGTTTTCCTGCAGTGTTTTAAAGCAGACGTTGGCATCCCTCCCCTGAAATACCAACTACCTTCACTATAACATTATCAAAATGTTATTAAGTAACTTACAAAATAAAATATTTATGTTCAGGGTAAAAGTGTACTGCTTCACATGAACCTGGGTGGCTTATGGCCTCTGCTAATCAGGGAGATTACCATGTTGTGTATTTACCATGCCATTCAGGGAACATCTACAATGTCCTTTTTACTCTCACCTCTTACACCACTGATTCCAAACACAAGTGTGCCAAGGGTGAAGGTCTTAAAATGGCCCCTTAGGTTAATAATTATGAGGCAGATGTTTTTTTTCTATAACAATATAAATCGTGCATGCTACTAATTTCAGTTTTTCCATCATCCTACTTGTGCAACATTTAGTTTTCAGCTGAAAATACACGATCAATCATCATACAATCATTATTCATTGTCATCGGTTAGAATGTCACATTTTGCTGACATTTCAAGTTATTTTACAATCTTCCACGAACTTTGCTTGAACACAAAGTTCAAACTGTACAACCTGTTCCTGGTTTTATTGACCATGGGAACCCAGTGCTAAGTGATTGTAAACAAAAGACAACAGATAGAGGTTTCTGTATTTTAACATCAGAAAGTTCAATGGTTCTTAGAAAACATTGTCTGAAATAAGCTCTGTTCATATTTTACTCTTTTCCATTCGAATAGATAAAGTAGTATGTCCTGGAACACAGGGTGCTGTCTCAAGTGTTTTCGTAAAAAACATGAGCTTATATTATTATTGACAATAGACTGGGCTTTATGAAAGCTTGAGATAGTCCAACAACTATAGTTTATATTGGCTGCAACTCGGTCCCTGTCGTTTATCACGACCGTGATATCCAAATATGTATTTGGGTTGATAAATGGTTTTTTTCGGTAATGAACAAATTGTCACTACTGTAAGCTCCTAAGAGACCCCTCCTCAGTTTACAGTAACTTATACTCACGTTTTCTTCCAGCGCTCATGTTGGTTTCCAGACTTTTGAGTTTCGCCACAAGGTCCTTTCTTTCGGAGTTGTTCCGAAGTAAATAAACCGACAGTGCACATGCATATTGAGTTGCCCTGAAATAAATAAAGTAGACAGTGAGAAAATAGAAAGTTGACGTTCAGTCTAGACTGCACTTGTCATGTTTACAACCTCATCTAACTTTTCTGTTGATATATACAACATGGAATACTAAAGACTAGGCCACACACATTTTACACGACTTACCTGAATATACGGTCCCTTCCTTGACTTTGGCTGGTAAACTGCACAACCGCGTCCATTGATAAATCTTAGTAGAACAGCTTGTTCTAGCTGAGTCGCACCCTCGTTCAAAGACGTAAAGCGTCAATTTCTGGCAACCGTATAATGGAAATTCTGCGTGCTCACTATAAACAACTTCGGCAACGGCGGTTCGTCTAACGTTGCCGATTTAAACTCCAGTAGGCAATGTGGATTTATAAACTTCTTCTACGTTGAGAGTAAGCTAGTTTCACGGTAGGTTTGGGCGACACTAGCAGTTGAGACAAACCTTCTTGTTTCACTACGGACAGTTTAGCAAACGGACCAAAGCCGAACGGGTATGGTAGACGGACCAGAGCGTTATTGGAATGGTTACTTGGTTACCAGCAGTGTTAAAGTAGCCTACTTAAGCACATTACCCTTAAGTACTGTGCTTAAGTACAATTTTCAGAGACCTGTACTACTTGAGTTATTATTCAAATGTATTGCTGATTAATTCTTATACTCTACTCCAATTCTTAGGTAAATCGTGTACTTTTACTCCATAACATGTATTTATTATCTTTAGTTACTTTTCAGATTTGGATTAATTATGTTTTTATAAACAACACTTCAATCAGACTTTAGCTACACCTGGAGTAAATTCACAAGCTACCCTGCAGTATGCAAAGTATTTAAAGTTAGCTGCACCAATATGATATATTATTCTGAAATGGACCAATTTGCACAATGAGTAGCCTTCTTTTACTTTTGGTACTCTAAGGATATTTTGGTGCTAATACATTTGTAGGCTACTTTTACGTAAGTAACCTTTTGAATGCAGGACTTTTACTTGTAATAGAGTATTCCTACACTTTGGTACTTGTACTTTCACTTAAATACTAGATCTGAGTACTTATCATACCTCTGGTTAGTGGTTACCATGGTTAATCTACGTTTAATGGCATCGCTGTTTGAAAGTTTACAAGATGAGGTGAAAAAATGTAATAATAATATTAAGAACAATAATAAAAACAGTTAAATAATACAATTCACAATATGTATTGAGTAAAAACAATGTAAACTTGATGATAAAAACAGTCACTGTAAACACCTTTTGATTTAAAAAGACAAATTAAGACTGTGACACACAATTTTGCAGTTAATATTGTGTGGTTTGGTGATAAATTAGCCTTTATTCAGTGTTAAAAACTGCACATGCATGTTTTAAACAATAGGGGGCATTATAATAGTTTTGAAGTGGTCACATGCAAATAAATATCACTTGCACTTGCAAGAGGGCAACAGGTCAAACAGGTGGCGTATAGAAAGATAAGAGCCATTCTGATTGTTTGAGCCTGTATGAGATGTCTTTCAGGGACTGAAGAGGCCACAGTGATTTTCTGGGAATGGATTCAATGTTCTCCAGTTATTGAAACATTTATAAACATAATTCATCATGTGTGTTTTTCTCCATATGATACAACAAATATTGCAATTAAAGCGTGTGTTATTTACTGTGATTGAAGGTGATAACACAAGCTTTAGACGGATTGATCTACTAATCCCCCCCCCAAAAAGATTATCTCAAACTGACTTTTTAAGATTGTCTATATTTTGTATCCCACTACCACAATTTAATCAGCCAATTAAAAGGTTAATTAATTTGGGTTGTTCCACTGCCAATTAATCCCAAGCTACATGCCTCCTGTTTATTCAAAAGGCATAGATTAATTGCTGAATTTGACAGTAATAAGTAGCAGGGGAGACGCATAAAATCTTCATATCTCATGCATAATCTAATATCGGAACAAAGATTAGTGACAGTGAATTGAATGAACGAGTTAGGCTGCTGGAGGCTTACAGCTGGCATGTCTAAAGGTTGGAAGATGCAAACGCTATTACCTTATCGCAGTCACTCAATTACATGGTTCTCTTTCAGTTCACATATCTGGTGGGGAATTTGTAATGATAAATGAATGATGTTCAAATGTTTTTAATGTATCTTCCCTCGACAGACACAAAAAAAGAATACACCACCAGTCATACTACATTGGACAAGCCCACTTTATTTGATTTATTTGTTAAACTTCTATTTGTTGCCATTTTTTGTCAATTTGTGATCATTTTGAGTTACGTTGTGGTTCCTTTGTGTCTATGTGCGTATCTATGTGGTTGTTTTTGCACTTCCTTCTCAGTTGTTTTTGTTTTTTGAGCTAATTTTGACTCAATTCTGTTTTTCGCTCTGACATTTCGTAAGTGAAGGTCACGGGGGTCCCAGAGGTTTTGGGCCCCTTGGCCTGGCATATATCACTGTGACTAATGCAACTTTAGCAATTTGGGTTAACTTTATGTTGTTCAATCCATTAGCTGTCCAAGCTGGAAACCTTTCATATTGCTTGTGGTTTCAAGCTGGAATCGTATCAGTTTTAAATAGCACACTGCCTTGCATCCCTCTTGATTAACAATTCAGTTAAGTCAACACCAACCAGTTTTACTAAAGGATTAAGATTAATACCCAGCGATTATTTCCTAAACCTCAAGGTTATTTAAAAAACTTGATACTGTTTTGAAAGTATTTCTGTAATCCTCAAAAACTCTTCTAACCATTTGGATGATAAAAAGGCAATTGCTTTTTAGCTTGAATGTATAATGATACTTGCAAAGCACAAACTGAAGAGGCTAGAGGGGACCTTTATTGTATTTAAACATGCCCCGGAATTAAAGGGCCTCCAGCCATCATGACTCATGAGCATTCAAGATAGATGTTCATGCCTCACAAATTGAATAATAACAATAATAATTGACTAATTATTTGTCTATGTTGATGTTAAACATGGAGCTGCTGTGATGCAAGTCACATTTCAGAATTGATCTGACCATTAAAGTATTATCGTATCGTAATAGTGGCATTACAGACAGCCTTTGAGAGAGACCTGTACACATTCAATAACCGCAGTAAAGACCCGAAAGATCTCACTGTGAGATTGTTTGAAATGAACGCAGTTGTGATTTTAATGGTGAGAAATGCTTTCATCATTTCATCTGTTTTACGGTGTTGAATTGTGGATTTCCAAATAGCACAGCGGGATCTCTGTTTTAAGTTTTTTGATCAGTTAAGTTGTGTTTAAAAAGTTATCTGTTTGTTTGGTCTTGGTCTCTTGATTGTGGAATTCCTCATTGTTCAACAAAAAAAATAATGTAGGCTACTCCTCCAGGTGTGCAAGGTTGAGTCACAATGCAATATTGATGCTGCTTACAGCTTTCAACCTTGCACTATAACAAGTTAGATAAGCTGTTTTAGTGTTCAAACTCAGCCATAAAACAGGCTTTATGTATATAGCTTTAACCTTTGCAGAATAACGGACAACATTTTACATAACTGCCTTATTGAATGCCTCGTATTAAATCCTAAGCAAATAAATTGTGACTGAGGTAGTAAAGGACCTCATTCTCCAGAAATGCCAAGGGCTGCTCCTGACAATACACATATACACAATGGAAGGTGAATACTTAAATGACACATACAACATCCAGCATTATAACATTTCAGCTGTCCCACATTATGCCTTGCTGAAATTATGAGTTTTACATTTACTGATAAATTAGTTAGTTCATGTGTCAAAAAAGATCTAGACGCAAATTGAATGTAATCGGATTTCTGTGTAAGATGTTATCTCTAAAATGTGAACTTCCATCTCTTTTGCTTCCATCCTACCACAGTCATCTTATCAAGAAATAGGAGCACAAGTGAGGTTCAGTTGATTTGTTTGTTAAAGCTTGGTGAGGCGATCATGATCTGATGAAATACTTGAGAACAATTCTGAACTGCTAATTTCTTGTCAAAGCTTTCAATAGTTTTCTCCACATCCATCTGTCCAGAAATGCACATATTAATTATAGTATTATGGACGTGTTTGAAGGTCAGACTCAATTGTGTTTTTTCAAATCCCAGGCTGCTCTTTGTAGATAAGGTCACTCTGTATTGCATTATCAGCTGGACTTATTTCCATATAAGTAAAGCCATTGTAGTGATGGTCTGGAGTAGAAACTGTGACCTTGAAATCATTTCTTATTTGGCCTTGATGAATATTTTTTCTCATGTACTGTATATCTTCAATTATATTTTTTTCATTTCACAGACAAATGTATAATTTATTTGAAGCAAACTTCAGAGAAAGACTTTAGATGTCATTTTAAGGCTGCCTGACAATGTTCAGATTTGCCTGGTTTCCATCTCACTTCAATATTGTAAGTAATATCTACAGTCTTATAGTCAGTGAAAGTGATTTTTGATGTAGAAAAGTTGTAGATGATAAGATGACTTTCTAAACCGTATTCATTATAAGTGATGAATAACACCTCATCTATTTCAACTTAATTGTCCTATTGTTCTTGAACACAATACAGATACTGATTGCAAAGTGAGTGATATATCACATCATAATTGGACTTATTTGGAACTATTTTACCAAAAATTATGATGCAATCAATTTAAAATAAAGACTTACACAACCTTGTTTTTTAGAACCTGGTGCTAAGAAAATACATATTTACCTCTCTGCAGTCGCAGCAAAGGCTGATACATTGTGCCCCTGCCAAATTCCTTCATGTTGTTTGTTGAGTCCGTTTTATTCCTACACACAACTCTTTAATTGAAAGTGATACTGCAGTAAGGTTATTTTAAAGGTTGTTTGCTATTGTCTGGGAATGGCAAGACAATCCCGTTTGGGTACTTTCCTGAGAATGTTATAAAAAACCTTATATTACAATCTGTCTGCATGGTCCACAGCCTTGTTTTTAACCCAAGTACCATTACAGTTTTTTATTCTGTTCTTCCAAACACAATGCATTTCAGTCACAACGTGTTTTGTATATGAGTGTTGTACTTTTTGCAACACCACAGACATTAAGCCTCGTCTTGAGTTTTATATAGACACAGAAAATTGCAGCTCAAAGAGAAGCCCACTGTTTTACATTACTCATAACAAGTACTCTGTCATTTCTTGAACACATCCAACAACCAATCCTTATTTATTTCAGTATTCTACAAAGAGGAATTGAACACAAACTTTAATAGAATCCAGATTGGGCCATAAAAGCATTAACGTTAGCCAACCTGAAAGTATTTTCTTTAACAAGGCAGTTGAGTATTAAAAGTACATTTTGTGAAATAAATGTTGACATTAGAAAGCACTAAAAAGCTCATTAAGATAAAAAGGAAAAGCTAATTCCAAAAAACATTCCAACTCTTTTGAGATCATTTTCATGCCCAATTATAAAGTTTGCTTTTGGGGTTTAAGGACATTATTAAAAGGTTTATGAACAAAAGTAACTGAATAC